AATTAATTGATAATAAAACTCAGCATATTGATACTGAATTGACAAAAACATTTTCGTTGCATTAAATAAAAACAACACAACAGCAATTGGCGAGCAACTTAATCTATACAATGATTTGCTTTATATTGAGTTTTCACATTTGGCTATCTGGGATTATACTGAGTAAGTATTTAAAACCATTTCGTGGAGAACGGCCTCAATTTTGGAGATATGACAATTTGAAGTTTCAGAATTTTAATGCTTCTAGATATTAGAAGCTGATGATAGGAACAGTGAATTTTGTGTGTGTCGGACTAATGTGGTGAGAAATGTAAACAAAATTACAAAGTAATTTAAAATGAATTATCTACAAGATACTTCAGATAATTAGTCAAAAATCCGTTTCATTTTAATTTTTGTAATTCGTTAATAGATTTAACCATGCGATTACATGAATTTCTAAAGTTTGTTGAGAACAGCGAGAAATTATTAGATCTTCTTGTTGATCGTAAAATTATTCATGGACATATTAAATGCAAATATTTTTTAGATAATTACTTAGTATGACCTGCCTAACAACATATCTCTCTCTCTAAAGCAACACAATCAGTGAAGTGTGACAGAAAATGCATACTAATCAATTTTCTTTTAATCTTTACTTTTTTTAACATGCAAAACACGATAATAAATAATATACAGTAAATATTAACATAATTTAAAACGCCCGTTGCTAATACTTGTTTCTTTGTGATCTCTGTAGATAAATATATATATAGTTATGTAGAATAAAATAAAACATATATTATCATATATACAACGATCGAGTTACATTAAACAATCAGCTGTGTCAAAAATGCTTTTCTTGTCGCGATTCTTCACATAGAATACACAAATCCTTTTTGCAAATAAAGAAAACGGTACTGTACAAAATTCTGTTCAAAAGAAGGAAAGAAAAAAACAAGATGACACTTACAGTTTCTTTTTATTTATTCTTTTTTGATTTGATTACCGCACTGTCCTTTGCACGCAATACAAACAGAAATTTCGTTAGTTTTTGCAGAATAAACAACGCAATGAAAAATACTGTAATGATCACGAAAAATAGAAAAGCAAATACATCTAGCAATTCTCTTTGCCACCAATAAAGACGCGTGGCCGGAGATTGAAGTACACTTCCGTATTTTGCTATATATTCCACCCAAAATATTGATGTATTTAAAGGACTTACTGGTCGATCGAGGAACATTTTCGACAATTTCTGTATATTTGATCTGAAACAAATAACAGCACAAAATTTGTTAGAAAAACAAATTAAAAATTAAATCATATGTGTGTATTGACTGGGCTAACCCGAACCGATGTTGCAAGATGTTGTGCAGTAAAAAACAATGTTGCAGATAAGTTAAACGTTTCGACTATTTATTTAGTCATCTTCAGTAAAACTGTGTACACTTCTAGATTACAATGATTAAATGTGTGTGTTTTGTTTGAATGTCTAGTATAAACTGTTTAGACTAAACAGAGTTTAAATAAATAGTCGAAACGTTTAACTTATCTGCAACATTGTTTTTTACTGCACAACATCCTGCAACATCGGTTCGGGCTAGCCCAGTCAATACACACATATGATTTTATCCACTTGAACCCGAGAACAACTCTCACCATTTGACATTGTTAAAAATTAAATGTTGACATTTATATGCTCATGAATATAAAAAAACTACTGTATTAAAAACAAAAACTTCGTATCTCTCAATACGATTGTTACCAGAATTTAATGTTAGGATGCACTTTTTATTTTCTATTAATGTTTCCGAATACTCACCGATACGTGGGATCTTTCAAGATAGTATTTAACGCCGAAGTTAATTTCGCCTCAGTAACATTTTGTATGTCCTCGAGCGAAATAGCAACCTTTTTGTTGACGTAATTTAGAATGTTGACACGCTGATCGCCGAATAATGGAATACCAATCATAGGAATTCCAAAGTATATTGCTTCTTGCGTTCCCATAGTTCCCCCGTGAGTAATAAAAGCTCGTATATTTTTATGTTCTGCAAAATTGATTTTTACTTATTTTATTGTAATTATATTAAGCAATTGCATAATATACAGCACACAAAAGAAGATAATTCAAATAATGAGAAAGTATCTTTTTTTCATGTGAAAAAACTAACTATGCGAAAGATAAGTTTTTGGGTTTCCGAATATAATAATGGGAATAATTTCTCAGAACATGCAGATCTATTATTTTAAGTAATCTTGACAATTATTACATACTCAATACGGTTTTTTGTGAAAACCAAGATTGCGTCATGACATTCTTCGGTAATCCCGGGAGTAGGTCTTCTTTTTTTGCGACTTTCATTAATACTCTAACAGGCGCAATTTTTTCAAAAGATGCATAGAATTGTTCGATTCTTTCTTTAGGGAAAGTTTCGATCTTCACCATAGAACCGAATGTAAAATATACACAGCCATCTTTGCTCTCGTCTAACCATTTTTGTACTTCCTGCATATAATAAATTTCATTAAAAAATATTGTAAAATCTGTATCTTTAAAACATTACAACTGTTATTTGGAACACTTGTGATGAAATACTTTTCCTTTTTTAATATTAAACGCTTTTTGAATAAATTCCGTATAATCATGTTACTATATATAATAAGTATAATTTTCGAATTATATATAATATTATATATTGTTTTGTGTAATTATGATGTAATCATACATACCGGCGATAACGGACCATCGCTATCTTTAAGATGTAGACCACCAACTTCGATCACATTAGTAGCCATTGGTCTGATTCCATGTAACGAATGATGGGAATTGACCAGATAGAGAGCTACATCGTTGTACAAATCCTTGATGTGCGGCACATCTATGCCGAAGTACTTCTTTATTAATTCTACTTGAGAATTTGTGTAATAATGATATTGAAGACTGACGTAATTCGATATGAGAAAGTTCAGAAGACGTTCTTTGAAGGTCATTTGTTGAGAAAAAGTTGAGAACATGCTTGGAACATAAGAGGAACATGCTGGATTACCGGCCATCTCGTTGAGCCAGTCGTGAAAAACGCTGGCAACTGTAGCGATCACGGGGACNTTGAGATGACGGCCGAAGGCCAAATAACACGGTGCTGCAAACAGCTGCGTAATCAATCAATTAAGTATCCTGATAGGAAACCATTTACAAAATTATGTGACGAAATCTTGCACTAAAATTGTAATTTGCAATTATACAGACATATTTTAGGAAACAGATGTAAAAACATTGATCTTTTCTGAAATATTTCTAGTTGTTTGCAAAATTACTTTCCAAATACTATTTCGGCAAAAGAATAACGATATGGCGAATCATCTTAGCAGTATATTTGCAAAATTAATTTCACAAAGAACTTGTCCAATAAATGAGAAAAGAAATTCAGCTATGTGATGTTTCAAATATGTAGAAATATGAGTGCATATGAAGAAATGCAAGAAATCGTCGTCACTCATGATGTCATATTTGTGCAATATTTTCACAATTTGCCTATTGAAAGTATATACTGTGGAAATGCATAACGACTTTTTCGCAATTTTTGACAAATATTATTTACAAATTTTTATTTCGGCAAAACTGTTGCGTTATGGCGAATCATCTTAGTGCAATCATTGCAAAATCGTCGCCATTCATTATGCCATTTGTGTGCAATATTTTCACAAATGTGCCTATTAGGGGTATAAGTCAGAAGTTGTTTCAATTGGCAGTTTACTAAGTATGTGTAAGCACAATGTCAGTTAATATTTTACAATTTACATCAGCAAAATAATATTGACGAGAACATTGTGATGCATTTGCTGCTACATAATTGCTTCACTTGTATGAGTAAGTTGAATCCTTCTTAGTAACGCCCATTACAAATATATTACGTTTTGACATTGACACTGCATCACTTAACGCTGAATAGTGTTACGTAATTTTCTACGCATCGCTTAATTCTTTCTCATTCTTTCTCATTTGTACATAATTGAAACTCGAGAGAAAAAAAGACAGAAAAAGATAATAAAATTAATGTATTTAACAAATACCTATAAGTTAATGTATACAATTTTATGGTAATTAAAAATCTCCCACAGATTTGACAAAATTTTTCAAAGGTCTAGAAGACAAGAATAATGTGTATACATCCGACAGTAGAGTAATATCACTAACATGCTATTAGATAGCTTATGATGTATATTATAACGGCATAGTTGTATTTTGGAGCAAAGAAATTCAAGCCAAGTGTAACACTTAAGTATACTTGTTTTCTGTTATTTTCAACCTTATTATTTTACTCAATTGTATTATTATTATATCAAATAATATGAATATTTGGATAATTATTTCCGTTACTGGAAATTTATACTATTTAATAAGAGAGATATACATATATATTTTAATCGGCTTTCTATATGTAGACTAATGTAAACTTGAACATTAGCACGGCATGCTAAAGAGATACTTCAATACGATTTAGTGGATACAATGTTTAGCGTATGAAAAATTATGAGCACATGTTTTTCGTTCCGACAGAAAAAGACGAATGAAATACGTAAAATCAGGTAGGCACTTTTTTCATCGACTACTTTTTTGCTCGCTAACAGGATTGCATTCCTGTGTTAGCTACGTTGTAGAATTTTCGTGATAAAGTGAAGTGTTTTGTTTTGCGCGGTGCTGATGTTGATTCATTACAAGAGCCAATCAGGACGCAGTTTTAGATCACGCATTATTCTATATATACATGATATGTTGCAAAGATAAAAAAGATGTACAATTGGATTTATTATATAAGGTTTTTATCTTAATGATTATCAAATCTTATGTATTTAACTTATATTTTATCAACTTATATAACTAAAAAGCCATATTACTCTCATTGTTTTTTGATTAATTGCAGTATCATCGTCAGTTTTAACATAAAAAATATTTAAAATAGTTTTATAAATCGTCTTGTAAATACTAAATTATCTATAAATTTGTGTTTAGAAAATGTTAAATAACACAAGAATATTGTAATTGTTCAGTTTTCAGTTTAAAATAGTAGTAACAACACAATTTTGTTAATAATTAATATTTACAAACTGTAAGTAGAAAACCACGTTACTACCTTCTTTATAAAATTGTTATTTCCCTTATAAGACTGAATTAAACATGTTAGCGTTGAAAAATATCAATCGTACCTCTGTGATAACAAGATCATAAGGAGGATCTTGTGGCGGATTCTCAATTAGATCACGAAGCTTCGGGTGATCCAGCAGTTCACAGATCTTTGTACCAGCTATACCGGTCAATCCAGCCATGTTCAGATTATTAAATTGTCGAAGTTCATTTGCACTTATGTTATTTACGGCCAAACCCAAAGTGCCTTCCAGACTGATTTCCTTATAATTGGGTTCCGACTTCTTTAGCGGAAAGTGCGTGACTACGTCCACTTGATGACCGCGTCTTGCAAGGCCTACCATCAGACTTTCTTGCATGATCCAATGGCTTTTACCATTGAGCGGAAATAAGCCGAGAATCCGATAACTATTAGCGATATGATCGCAAGCCAGAATCACGAAAAGAATCGACAGTAAACTCTTCATGATTTAATAATACTCTTCGAACACTGTCGATGTACGATATCGTTCCGATGGAATAAAGACAGCGACTAAACGCGCGATGTGCTATGTGGACAGTGGTACCTCACTGAATTGATCTGAGTCACGCTGTGCTTGAGAAGATAAATTACTTTCTCGTGAATATAACGGCAGATAATAATTTTGAATAGTCATGCACATGATGATACTCACCTTGATAGGAAAACATTTACAAAATTATGTGACGAAATCTTCTACTAAAATTGTAATTTGCAATTATACAGATATATTTCAAGAATTAGATGTAAAAACATTGATTTTTTATAAAAAAATATTTGTAGTTGTTTGCAAAATTAGTTTCCAAATACTATTACGGCAAAAGAATAACGATATGGCGAATCATCTAGCAATATATTTGCAAAATTAATTTCAAAAAGAAATTGTCCAATAATTGAGAAAAAATTTTCAGCTATGTGATGTTTAAAATATGTAGAAATATAATTGCATATGAAGAAATCAACTTAATTCATATATATATATATATATATACTTAAGGAAATGCATAACGATTCTTTCGCAATTTTTGACAAATATTATTTACAAAATTTTATTTCGACAAAACTGTTGCGTTATGGCAACTAATCTTAGTGGAATCATTGCAAAATCGTCGTTATTCATGATGCCATNTTTGTGCAATATTTTCACAATTTGCCTATTAGGACATGATAATAAAGTATATCTTATTTTTCTCCGTTTAAATTACAAATCGTTCTTCGATTTATAAGATATAAAAATTTTATTTATAATCCTATAAAATAACTGGTAGTCAAAGCAACATATTGTAAAACAGAATTTTGTGATGAGTTTAGTATAAAATATAGATAAAAACGCTGTTTTGTAAAAATATGTTAATATATCCTAAAAAGTTTATATTTCAAAACTTAAATACACATAAATATATTTTAAAAATATATTTTAAATTTAATTATATATATGAAAAAAGTGCCCTTTATCTGGTAGCCAATATTTCTAGTAGAGATATAGATTGTTTAAAACTTTCTGAGATGAAGTCTAAAATGAGACGATATTAATAAATATTGAAGTTATAAGCAATTAAAAATTCTCCTTCATAGCACATTCTCGTATTCTCATAGATAATTTTTTTTTTTTTTTTCGATTCACGTATTCCTCTTGTACTATTCCCCCGCTACTGTTACTCGCGCACTATTCGCACGTATTTATTACCTCATTTGACTGCAAATTAACATCAGCTTCTGTATATGCAGTGCATCACTTTGCGCAAGACTTTTGCCAAAGAGTGGGAAAATACAGGGGAGACGTGAGAATAAATTTATGGATCCTGATGTAAAGAGATTATAGGAACTGTGCTGTACACACACATACATTATTTATTCTACAATATATCTTCTCAAAATTGTAAAATGTATTTATTTAGTTCGGTGTGAACATATTTTATTATTAAATAGTGATAGTAAAAGCAGACATATAAGAAACGATTTGACTAACAAATAATGCGAAATAAATGATACAATAATTCAATTGTAATTTTGTTGAAAAAGTGTTAATGATTCTTGCACTTGTAATATTCCATAATATGTAGTAGTTTAACCTTTTAGTGAAGATAATCCTGCTCTCATTATTTCGTCAACCAAAAGAAGATTGCTAGCGATGATTGTACTAAAAAGGAAAAAAATGGTTATCACATTATTTAATTATTATAAAGTGTGTTTATATACGTGTTAGTTACATACGTTTAATATTTAAAATTAAGAATATCAATATTGTACGTATAGGAGTATATATATTACAAATATTTTCATAATAAAATCTTACCAAGAATTGATAATTTGCTTCTTTACGTTGTAATTATCATATATGCCAGCATCTGTAGGTTTTAAAGCTTCTCCTGTCGACAAGTCTAAACCCACTGCTTCGTCTAAAGCGGTGCTTTCTTCTAGCAGTTTAACAATTGTATCTTGCGAATCAAATCCGCCGTTAACAGCTAAAAAGTATAAGCAAAATATGACAGATATTATACGATTACGTTATTAATAATAATGTTGATAAGAACAATGACAAGATAATAGTCTTCTCACCAAGAGTTTTCGGAATGATAAGTAAAGCTTCCGCATAGGCCTGTACTCCCAAACGTTGCTTTCCTTTTACTTGTTCCTTGTACCGCTGAAGAACTTGACTAGCCGCAACCTCAAAAGCTCCAGCTCCGGGAACAACGGCACGATCATCAATAGCATTTTTTATCGCTCTAAGTCCGTCACGTACAGCGTCTTTTAATTGCTCTAATGTATATTTGTTCGGTCCCTGGAAAATATCGATATATTGAATACGTGTGTAAGACGTACATACTTCACAAGTAATTCTTTTTACTGTTACCTTCAGTAAAATAGTCACAGAATTTGGTTTTTTGCATTCCTCTATGAAAGTATATTTGGTTTCTCCCTGAAAAATAATTTTGTCTTGTAATTACGTATACATTTATAAAAAAATAATTGTACATTATATCTTTTCTTATTAATATGAAAACATAATATATATTATATTCACACGTTAGAAGTATCTAAAAATTTATACCAAAACATGTTCATATACAAGGCCAGCCCAACCCAGATGTTCCTCTTTCAAATCTTCTACTGAATTCATGGCTACGCCGCCACACGCAAGTGCTAGACGTTCCATATTTCTACGCTTGGCTCGGCGCAAAGCAATAATTTTCTCTTTCGCGAGCATGTCGAGAGATTGAGGATCAATTCCTTTTTGATTTATAACGACGAATGATTTATTCGTTCCGTCACACACCTTCTTCTTCAATTCGATAATCTTCTTCACACGATTATCAATAAACACACGTTCCGCAGCCACTAATTTTTCTCGCTCTTCGGCTGATTTATAAAAGAATCCACTGTTTACCTATATAATCAAAAGTTTGTTAAATTACTCTTTATATAAACAACATATAATCTATATAAAATTTAATATTTTCTGATTATATATATTTACTTCGCTTTTCTCGTATTCCAAACTGACATTACAAGTTAAAATATATGCATTTTCCACCCTTTTTGGCATGTCTGGATGTCTAGCTCCATGGTCAGTGACTATACCACGAATCAAAGTAGTGTCAGTTGCTGTTCTATGTTGCATTTCCATTAATTCAATCATATGCAAATCTATTTCTTTATCTTTTTGTCTAATAGCCAATACAGCATCCACACAAATCTCAGTTAACTTGTCAGCTACAATATGATGAACTTTTGTTCTCAGAGATGTTCTTGCAACATCCAATAAGATCTCCCTATTAGGCTCAATTGGAATTTTCAGCGAGTCCAATACTTCCAATGCTTTATTACGAGCCAAATCAAAACCTTCCGTGAGCATTCTGGGATGTAATCCCTCTGTTATATACAGATCAGCTTGTTTCAAAAGTTCACCAATGACCAGTACAGTACTAGTTGTACCATCTCCGGTCATATCATCTTGAGCAGTAGATGCTCTTGCTATCAAAGATGCTGTCGGATGTTGAATTTGCATTTCATGCAGAAGTACATTACCATCCTTAGTGATTTTTATATCTCCAGCACCAGAAACCAACCTAGAAATTCAAATTTCAATAAACATTTTCATTGATATTATACAATATATATAACACTGATAAAATATCATGGAAAAAGCTAAAAAGTTTTCTCTCTCTCTCTCTTTTTTACCGGCGAATCGTGAATCATATCCTAATAAGGAGAATAAGTGTCGTGGATGATCTTTAATGGATAATGGCAGTCAAAACAGAAAGAAAATATTGTCGCATTTAGTTTCGGATACGATCATGAATTTTTGACATCAATAAGAAAATCAAAACAAGTTTTTGCTACAACAATCTTAAGAAAAAAGCGCGTACGCACGTGAGCGCATAAATACGTACATCTTCATAGTTCCCTTGGGTCCCAAATTGGTTTTCATCACATCTTGAATTCCTTTGGCGGCAGATATGTTCACCGCTAATGCCTGTGCCGCTCGAGCAAACTCGGCTTTTGGATTTAACAAACTGATGGCAGCCATTCTCACGTTTTACTTTCGTTTCGTACAATTCTTGCCTCTGATCTGACTCTTGCAAACGCAATTGACCTATAAAACAGTGCTCTAGTACTTTCTCGATGCCACGAAGTAAGAGTAAGGAGATCGAACTCCGTGATATAAAAGTGGTCCCGATTCTGACGCCTAATTGGGAGGGAATCCGCTCAAGAGAATAGGTTTTTACGGTTGGACGCCATTTGCAAAACTGTCGCAGGTCTCGTGGAACTGATCAATCACGTTGGTCGATTGGCTGATTTGACTCTGCAATTGGTCAATTTCACGAGATCTGATACTTGCGTTTAATGTAGAACAGCCTTTGAGTTCCACTTTTGTGGAAATACGGCTAAAACCAGCGGCTGAAACCGTCGTAAAAAATTACAATAGGATGGCCGCTCTCAGATTTCTCTCTGGTACGTACGTTATGTTCAAACATGGACATGGTTCTATTCCGTGCTACGTGCACAAGTCAAAGCGTCGAGTAGAGAAAGATCGAGCAACCGGCCAGCACCGAGAGCATCGAGATGGTGGGAGTAAGCACACAACGTGACTAAAGTCATGTGTTGTTTTTCCTACTCTCCGTCATGTGACTTTACCACGTGACGGAGTCGCGTTTTTAAAGCCACGCGTACAGTTTTTATATTTGTAATACTTTTTATAAAACTAGCACAACACAGGGGCCCGCTACGCGCACGCTATTGTTATTTTTATTTAACGTGTTGTCAGTGAACACAACCTGTCACCGCGATGACAGATAGTATATACGTCTTATAAACCGTCTTATATATATATACCATAATCACGTGACCGAAGTCAGTAACACCGCCGCGGTCGCGCGGTCGAGGTCAGTGACTTTACCGAAGTCGCGCGACCGAGGTCATTGACCCGGCCGCGGTCGCGTGACCGAGGTCAGTGACCTCCCCCCACCAAGGCCGCGCGCCCGCGGTCAGTGACCTCCCCCCCACCGAGGCCGCGCGCCCGCGGTCAGTGACCTCCCCCCCACCACTAAGGCCGCGTGGCCGAGGTCAGTGCCCCGCCAAGGCCGCGCGGCCGAGGTCAGTGACCCCGCCAAGGCCGCGCGGCGGAGGTCAGTGACATTACTGTAGTATGTATATAATACATATAATACAATATAAAGTATAATATTATAAATATATAATAAATTATATGTATAATATGTATTATATTTAATGTTATATATAATATAAATTACAGTCACGTTATTTTCACGTGTTGTTTGAATATTATATTTAAATAAGATACTATTAATTAAATTCAAATTTAATTATTTTTTTGAAAGTTTACCACTATGGGGCAAATAATAAAACACAAAGTTGTGAAAGTGTATGTATATAAATACACAAACACTTGTACATTTTCTTTATACTTGTTTTGTAAATTCATATATAGAATGCATCACTGACGTATCATCCGTTTCCATCAACCATTGTTTGAGAAGATGCTCAATTTTCTTGGCATCAATCTATATAAGATTAATAAAAACAGTAATAAATAAACATTTTTTGCTTTATATATATATATATATATATATATATATATATATGTATACACGGAACACAAAGAATTTTAAAAGAAAAATATTTTTGTGAAAATTGTGTTATACCTTATCAATATCTATATTAGTAACTTTCAAGCCTTTGATCAATCCAGTAATATCGACTATCCATAGTTGTTGATAAATTATAGCGATCCACAAAGTAGGTGCTAATCGACCTACTATATGTTCAGTTTCAAAGTCCGATCTGAAAGAAGATTTATTAAAATATCAGTCAGAAAGTATTGAAATTTATAAACACTTTTGTTATATTATTTAAGATTCAACCTTGTGATTATTTTAGTTCTGTCAAAAATCCAAGGTATTATGGTTCTCATATTTAAGTTTTCTTTCTTCTCATTCTTGATATTTTTCATTTTTTCAAATAACTTTAAAAGTCTATTCTTGCTTTTCTCTGCATCTGTCTTGTTTGCGACCGTTCTTTCCTCAGGTGCTTCGAGTCCCTGATGTTCTTTTTCTTCTTCTTGAGCAATATCTCGATAATATCCTCGCTCTTCGGACGATAATTTCTTCCAAAATTCGGTTATCTTTTTCGCAGTTTGGGTTGTTGTTAATGTAGGGTTTTCCTTTGCAACTGAAGGCGCAAGATAATTACTGATAGGCAAGTTTCAAATTTCTATCGTAAGTTTTATTTCTTGCAGATTTTTGTTTTAAAAAAAATTGTAAAACAATAAATACATAAACACGTACGTTAATAATACCTTGTGATTTAACGTGTTTTAAAAATTGAAGATCTTTACGATCAACATGGGCCTTCTTTAGCTCGTCTTTACGTTTAAACTCTTCATTAATTTTAATGTCCGAACCGGTAGTATACAACTGTCCTTCAACGGCAATATCAGATTTTATACTTATGCCACTCTGTTAAATGTTTTAGTCAATTATATAATTTAATGTAATTTTTTATGATAGAAGATTAAAATAATCAGTGGGTATTTAATATTAAAAAAAAAAAATCCTTTACTTTTACACCGGTCACATGTCCTTTACTCCATGATTCTAATGAGACTTGTTTTGTCTCTTGAATCTCATTTACTTTCGTATCTTTATTCATTATATTAATCATAGGAACACGAGTTTCTATTTCTCTCAAGTCGAAATCTTCACCGAGATCTACAACAGGTAACTGACTTATGCTTTCGCGTTCCTCATCCCTGTAATATTTTTGTGTATTAACATTTATATGACAATTTTTAAAGTGTTTACATGTTATATTAACTGTTGAAATAATTTAATTATTAATATTTAATAAATTTAATATTAAAGATTAAGATTATTCTAAAATGGACATATATTGAGAATATTTATTAACATTCTGTTATCAGATGAAATCCGGACAAAAGACATGTCATTTGAATCGGAGTCGCTTAAGTTCGGTGGCTGTATTTGAGTCGTCAGAACCAACGCGTCTGTGTAATGTTGTTGATCGCGAACGTCACTTTGTTGTTCAACCTGACATTTTTCAAATCCACTTGTGATGATGTTATCCTTGTTGTTAGGCATTTCCGTGACAATTATATTCGGAATTGTCTCGTGAATTTTCTCTCGAGCATGTAGTTTGCGTTTTTTACACGCAGACAATTCGGAATCGGCATCATTCGTATTAGACGCGTAATCTTCGTAACAGGCAGATATGTCGTTAGATAAATTACGTTCAGTGATTTCCACAGATTTGAGTCCATAAAACTTTCTCATACACTTATCTATAGTATCAAAGACTTTATTCTATAAATATTAATTACAAAAACATTGTAATATCATTGGAAAAGTGTATATATTCGTAAAGTTACATTTTTTTAAATAACATTATAAATTATATCGGAAAGATATCGATATTATGTAATTCTAAATTTAATCGAGTATTAATTTTAATCTTACCTGATTTTTAAAAAATATTGTGTCTTTATTTGGTTCCAAATTGACATCAATATCTTTTGGTTCTAAAGTAATATATACAAGAAACATCACTTTTTTTCTGTACAAATCTTGGTCGAAGTATTCTAATATCAAATTATGCACTAGCTATTTAAAAAAAGCAAGTTGTTCTTATCTTGCATAATAACATACGTAAATTCTACTTCGATTATGCTTAGTGACAATATATATTACCTTTTCAAGATCCTTATGTTTGATAGGTCTATCATTTACAAAAATATAATGTAGGTCAGGATGAGAAATTTCTGACAAATTCCGTACTGTTTTTGAAGGTAGCATTAATTGCAGAGGAAACTGAAAAATTGTCATAAACTTTCAACGGTACTGATAATATCAATTGTACCATATATCTCTTAAAAATACAATTTATCTATTTAATTATTAAACATACATACACCTGCATCGTCAGGCTCAATCCATTCCATGTTAGAAGTTATTTTTCTACCAAGCACATAAGTCACTGATTCTTTAATATTGTTTAGACTAGGTTTTGTGAAAACAAGGTTACTGTTCACTCTGTACTGAATTCGTACATTTGGCTTGCATATTCCAAAACACTGCATCAGTGTCTCTAATGATTTAACAACTTGATTAGCTTTTCTTGTGTTAGTGATCATTTGTCTTCTCACAGGTACTTGCTTGAATAAATTTTTTACTTGTACTGTTGTTCCTAATACAAATAAATTGTTATTTCTTATAACATATGTTTCAACATATAGTTAAAAACATATAGTCTAAATGTTTTTCTTACTATTATTCAAAAACAGAATCATTTTTCCTTAAAAATTCAAGAAAGAAAAAAATAAATTTTACCAATACTTCTATGACAAGGTTCGTGATTTGCAATGCAACCATCCTGATTCATTGAATATAAAGTTCCGACAACATCATCTTTTGTTTTTGTTATAATACTGACTTCTGCCACAGCGCATAAGGCACCTAATGCTTCACCTCTAAATCCAAATGTTTGTAATTCATCTGAAGGTAGTAATATAAAAGTGCACATATAAGAAATGGCTTTACTATAGTGCAGCTATACTCTTCTATTTCACTAAAGTTAAGCATACAATTTAAGTAACAAAATTATAAATCTAATCATTTATCTTACCTAAATCTTCAAAATTTGATATTTTGGATGTGTAAGAAGACAATCCCATGTATGGCGCATCTTCTCTAGATATGCCATAACCATTGTCTTTTACTTCTATTAAAGACGTACCATTATCTACCTAATAAACAAATGAATCATTTTGTTGAATCGTTTACAAAATAAATGTGTGAAAGTGGAATATTACCAGATTAATTTCAACATTATCTGCACCAGCATCCAAGGCATTTTCTACCAATTCTTTGACAGCAGAATACACAGAAGTTATTACTTGAGTGGTGGTAATTAGCTTTGCAGTTTTTCTATCTAGAGCGAAAATCGGCATTTCTCAATCGTGTTATTAATAGTACGTTTGTTTCTTACAATACCTAAAAGAAGACATAAAGTTTTGACATTGAGTTTCTATATGTAAATAAATGTTTACATGCACGTAGAAAAATGTAACGAACCGGTTCTGACATAGCCGCCGACATGCAGGGGTACGTTCAAAAATCCTACCTTGGTTACTAAAATGCTATATTTCACGTCACGTGTACTATAGTTTTTGGTAACCAAAGTAGGATTTTGGAACATACCCCAGACGGAACGTGTCACAGGTTATGCGCAAATGGAAAAGCGACGCAATAGCCAATTAGTACGTTGTTTTTCCATCCGTAGTGTCACACTACGGATTGCGAAAAAAACGCGAATCGAATTGGATTTGCAGATCGCGGACTTAGAATTTAGCCAATAGAAACGAGCCAAATCTCGGATCTGCTTTGTCTTGATTGATTAAATCCCGATCCGCAATATAGAGTGTGACACGGGATTAGGAGCGGTATATAAAGGCTGCGTTCCGATATTCACCGCTGGAAAAAATTTATAGCACACATGTGTACTTAGATTTTTAGTGAAAATTTTGGAACACGCAGACTTTAGCTGCGTTCCAGAATTGCTGCCAAAACGCTGCCGGTGCTAAAATTGTATAATATATGCGAACGTAAACTATAGTTATCTTTAGCGCTGGCAGTGAATTTTGAAACGCGGCCTTTACATGTCGCGCGGTGGGGATCGGACTTGACGACGCGCGCGCGTGCGCAGCGTTGCCGTCGACTGTATCCAACATGGCCGCCGCGAGCGTGATGCCGTCGAAGGTGCGCGAAAAATGACGGGTTTTCCACGATCTTGACGGCGCGATCTTGTACGTGCGCGCGCGAGGACAGTGCCAAGCGAGCGTTGTGTCGCCTTGTGACGTTGGGACGTCGCGACGATCCATGACCATGGCGTTAGTCACGGTGCAGCGTTCCCCGAGCGTGTCCAGTTCCCCGCAGAGCTCGGTGAGTTTTGTTTGCGTTTTCCTTTGTGTACGCGACGCCACGAATGATTTTCAACGCCGTTTGTAAGCGAAAAAAAAACGAGAACTTGCGCTACGCGCGAATCAAAACAGCGCGCGAATACTTTAACTCGGACTTCGAACGTAGATTTTGTTTCGCGATTATCTTTGATTCGGCTCGTTTCGTCTCGTTCCGAGTGGCCCGACGACCGGCTGCTCTGCCTTATTTGGCAGTGTACTGACAATCGCGCGCCGAGAGAGAGAAAGGGTAATGTGGAAGTATTTAAAGTTCCAGTTTGCGCCACTCGCTTATCTGCGTTACAGGTAGATTAGACACGCGACACGCGGAGCAACCGTGTCCCAAGGCCGGCAAAAAGCGCGCCGAAACAAAGAGAGCTCGTAGCATAAACAAACATTAGATAAGGTCGTTCGCTCTCACTCTCCGAATTGATCTGTGATTGTTTTTTTTTTTTTCTTCTTTTTTGTCGCTCGTCGCCGCATTCTCGATCACATCGCATTTTCGTTTACTTGTCGCGCGTTTTTTTTTTTTGTCGCCTGACGAAGATTTCGACGTACATATATCGTGCGAATTCTTGAACACAATTCTTTTAAAAAACGATCAAATCGCACACACGCGCAAAGCAAACGCCAGTGACGAGATATCAATCCAACGGTTATCGTATTGTTGCACGTAAGTGATTTAACGACATCGCGTTGTCATGACATTTTCGTTTTCCCCCGCTTTTGCTTTCCGTTCGCACGATCGTCACTTCAAAGTTTTTGTCTCACTTTGTACATAAAAATCTATATCGCTCGCAATTGCTACACAAAGTTATTTCAATAACAATCAATGAGAAGCAAAATTTGTGGCGCAACGTCATGTGCCTAGAACATTGACTGTAACTCGGGGAACGATGCGATCTGCGCTCTGTTGACTTAGCGATCCTGTGGTTATTGTTGTCGCGAAGATATTTTGACAAATACTCAAGTATTTTTCGCGATTAGAAAAGACGCTAAATTTTTCTGTTTTGTTGTCGCGAGTAAATCAATGAATGAATATTACGTGTAGCGCTGATGATGATGATGCACACAAATGACCATTTCGTTTCTCGAGATAGCGGAGTTGTGCAATTCCAGAACAGATAAACGCGTCGTTATATTTCGTTTTTTTTTTATTTTTCATCATCAGGGTCGATTAGCGGATTATTATCGGATGACTTATCAATTCGATCAACAAGATCACCGTGTGATACACGCACAGTTGCAAAGATTCAATATTCTAATTGTTATTAATATTGCTGAAAATTGCTTAATTGCTTCTAAAGTCGAATGATAGAAATACGATGTTATTTTATTAAAATCTAACCGTGGAAAATACTACTATACATATCTATTAGATTATCAGATACAAAGAAGGAGATTGTTTTAAAAAAGTCTAAAAAGTTTTTGTTAAATGTTATTAGTGTGCAAAAGTTTCTTTCGATTTTTTTTTTTTTTTTTTTTTTGAAATTGTTTCCTCAAAGAGAATGACATTATTAAGTTCTATTCGTGAAAATCAACATATATTTACAATAAAGAATCGTAATTATCATTTAACTCTTCAAATGTCCGTGATGCGTAAGAAATTTTAGATTTTGTCATCTTTAAACTTCGTTATCGCAAAAAAAAACATTGGGTTTTAAGTCGAACTAGTTTTGTTGTCAAAGTTTATACTTGCACTTTCCCAATTTTTCGCTTTTCTTTATCTCGTTCCCGCTCTCTTTTTACGCTGTGATCCAGCAGCGTTTTTGGCACGATCTTTCATTCGAGCGAGTTCCACGTTCCGAAGGGGGTGACAATCACATCGTCGCGGAGGCGCTGCTAACTCAACCCGCGCAAAGCACACACGTACACGACGGACACACGCTTGGCGCATAAAGCCGCGAAAGAACACACAAAGGTGTGTGTGCGCGCGCGGAGAGACGCTCTCTCGCGGACCTTCCTTGACGAAGGAGTCGACGGACTTTCAGTTGGTCGGCCACCACTCGGCATAACGGTAGCTAGAGTCGGAGATCCGAGTAATATTTGACACACACGAATCGACCGCTTTTTTTTTTTTATCGCTGTTTGTTCTTCGAGGGTTTAGATCTCACAAGCCCGCTGCATATTTTTTTTGCGTCGCGAGCAATCGCGATAACGTGATTATCGAGCAAAGGATGACAGGCATCGAGCAATGCGTAAAAAAAAAAAACAAAATCAAAACAAAGTAGAGATTTTAATTGGGACAAATGTATCATATATATATTTATGGAGCGCACGAATTACTCGAGAAATTTTAATTGTCATCAAAATTGATTTGATTTTATAAGATAATTTATCTATGTATCGTAATGTGTAATTTTGCGTTTTACATTGAGATATTTTTGTTTTACAAATTAAAGAGAAAATTTAGAGATTCCCTATCACTCTCTTTATTAAAATTAGATAGTAGATCTCTGCGGTGAATCGAAGGTCGATTAACACGTTGCGTTGTGTGATTTTTGACGTGTGACAGAAATTGCATACCCCCGCGCGTACGTAATACGCGATCGCTCTCGGCTCGACCTAAAAAAATTCGACCATTCGAACTGAAATCGCTCGTATATCTGAGTCAATCGATCGCCGATCCTGATTCATAGCTCTGTGTCTCTGACGCGGACAAACGTTCGTCGGGAAAACGCGTTATCTCGACATTTACATTTAGTAGTGAGAAGACTTGTCGATATTCAGAGAGAAGGGCAGATATGATTGTGCTGAAGCAGAAAGTTTCTCTGCACTACGGACTGCCACCGCCACCGCCACCTCAACCACCCTCGCCCTGGTCCAGCATTCTCTGGAGCAACGATCGTCACCGACTCGGCAGCGGGCGAAGACTCGCGTGTGGCGCGCGCGTCACGCAATTGCGAGACAAAGTCATCGCAAAAGTAAGATTTCGTATCGACACGAAATGATATTTCTATTTTGAAGTTCCCCGATGAAGTTTCACATTTATTGATTCGCGCAGTTGTTGCAAAAAAGAAATTGGAAAATTCGATTTGCGCGGTTGAGAGATCTTGAGGCAAAAAACTTTCAAAAAACATTCTTTCCCCAATTGTATTCAAATTTGATATTGTGTAGAGGCTTTTTTTTTAGATAAAAAATAAGTATCTTATAAAAGTAGAAATTTTGTATTCGTTGAAACGAATTTATGTGGTTGAAAAAACTGCGATGCGTTCGTGGCAAGAGTAAATTAAGTTTTGATGAGAAAAATCGTGTCTCGGAGGTATAAGTATGATTGCAGGGATAATTGAGGTGAACAACGTCCGTTATTCGAATTAATCACATACTTTTCTTTGGAGATAATCAAAAGATCTACGATAACGGCATACGCCGCCGTATGTAACATATCAGCAACACGCAAATTATGTATATCGAGCGGAGAAAGTCACTTCAATGGCGCGATACACACAATATTACGCGGACACGCGCGTGTATTTTGTGTAATATCAAAACATGCAAACTTCTGCGCGACGCAGAAAGTTGTCACACAGAGAATTATATTAATTACTGAAAGAGACGAAAAAGATAAATCTTGTGTACAAAATTAGATTTTCTGTTATTTTCGCGGCCGCGTGTGTAATTGTTGTGACATTGAAAAATAACAAAGGAGTTTTGAGATTATTTTCAAACGTAAAAAAGGCGTGAAAAAAGAAAATCTTTAATACGGTATATGTTTGTGTTTTTTGAAGATAACATTGCAAATCTGATACTCTGTCTGGTTACATAAAAGCATTGTAAATCAAATGCGAAAACTAACGAGAGCTTCGGTGTTTTTTAGGGCATCGCGTATGCAATAGCTCGAATACTTCAGAAGTGTGCCTCTTGTTTATTGGAAGCGCGAAGATGGGTGGGAAGCGTGCTGGAAAGGTCGCGTGTCGTGATGCAATGCTCATTCTAAAACCGCAAATCCACTATAGACGTTACATATTTCTCACAGAGTCTTCGGACATTCAAAAAATATCTTTCCACACTGGCGTAACATAAATGTCAGAACGTTCGCTTTCGAAATTGTAAATTATTCGTACAGTAGTATTACCTTTTAATGCGGAAAAAATATTAAATAAAGTAGAAAATATAAATGTTCCTGAGAATAAAAAAAGTGAAAAAAATAAAAATATAGAGCATGTAAGGCTCCACTGGATCAGAAATAACGCAGTTATTTCTGCTACTGTTTTGAACTTTATTATAGTGTATGTTTATCATCACCCTGAATAAACGAGAAGGAAATAGAAATTTACATAAAACTTGCAAATTAATTAAAATTAAAAAAAAGATGACAAGTTAAAAAGAGAATACTGAAAAAATCTGAAAAAATCAGAGAATACTTGAAAAATCGTACACATGTGTATATACATGTATATAGACATATAATATTATTATTTATTTTATTTACTTATTCTTGCTATTACTCGACGCAACATTGTTCGGTGACATTTTTTACTTTTAAACTATCGCTCGTTCATGTTTCGAGATCCAGGAATCTTGGGTATTTAAAATTAAGAAGCACTTGTAGCACTTACAGCGGATGCATTTTGCATGTGTATCTCGCCATGCATTCAGTTCGCCTTGAAAGTCACAATTAAAAACCTGCAGGGCTTCTCTCTTTCTCTCTTTCTCTTTCTTTCTCTCTCTCACACATACACACACACACAGAGAGTCTCAGTCTCTCAGGCCAGGCGCAATCTTCTTTTCAACAAATGAAAGGTTCTATTTTAAGCCGCGGTGCTAAGGCAAGGATTGGAAAATTGCGCGCTGCACCGCTGCTAATAGCTTCGCGGGCTGTTTTATGCGCTCGCACGATCAATTTTCTTAACGGCGCGCGTGTCTCGGTGACGTCGCAGGACTCTCTCTATAAGGATAATCGAGAGAAGAACGATTCTCTCATTAAAGATAATCGCGCGACACATGTGTGTTTCGCAAACTCTCGACGAGTTTCATAAAATTCTAAAATTTTCTTATAACAGTAGATTTCAAATTGTTACACTTCGTATACACGAATATGAGACAGACGCGAAATTCAATTTGCACGATGTAATTGTCTTGTAAAACATTAACCCTGATAAGAATGATTGGAACGCAATTTTTTTGCCTAAGTATTGCGCGAAAACGTGCGAAAAACGTGCGCGACTATACAAATCGCTTCGCTCGCTCGAGCATTCTCAGTTTCAAGAGACTGGAAAGGGGTTATTTCATATCACCGCGCTCTTTGCGTACAGCAAAGTGCACTTACCGAAGGGAGGCCGATGCGTATTTTTTTTAGCACGTTGCGGGCCTTGAAAGGAGTAAGCTTTGCGCGAACTGTATCGTGTATTGATTTTGATCGTATTTTTTTACACGTTTTTTTTTCGCGACCGTGCCTCTAATCTCCTCTCTTCTCTATAACGTGATGTGCGCGGAGGATTCGAACTTCTCGTCTCCTTGATATTTACGATGCTCTTTATTAATAAAAGAGCCACTGCTCCGAGACACACGCCCACGTGAGCGGCTAAATGACGCGTGGAAATGTCTCGCCGCACATTGTCGCCATGCTGAATAATACGGAAAAAAAACGGGTGCTTACTAAGACTAAATTAATTTATTATCACAATTTATTGTTATAACAATTAGGTAATTCATAGTACTTACTGTTCCATATAAATTGGTAAATTCAAGATAAGAAAAATAATTTGTGTGTTCTAATTAAAAGCCGTACCGGACGAAAGGCAGAATGATTGAGAGAAATTAATAGACATATAAACAGATATATTATCAGGATCTTTTGGCTTTGTTATTTGAAGCAATTTTTTTTCAGCTGTTTACATCTAATAAATTAATTACAATTAACAAAAAAACATTAAAGAGAAATAATTCTATTATAAGTATCTAAGTAGAAAAAAAAATAAAAAGACGGAGGTTGAAAATATTTCAAGAGACGGACTTGTTTAGGCGCATTGTCGACGAAGATTCGTCAGAAGCAGTAATAAACTTTCGAATTGAACGGTTCGCGACCGCGCAATTTTATTCGGTAGACACGCACATTGTCTCCTTTGAGTATTACACGGCTTCGCGTTTTTCAGCCGTTCCGTGCCGTTCACCACGATGGTTGTCACGATGCCTCAATTATGCTTGGAAGGAGAAACGAGTAAAGGTTTGTTGTCCGTATTTCCCTTTGTCATGGAGTTAGTATTGACGTAATTCCGACGCGATTCCTTTTTGTTGTGGATGCTTTCACCGCGAATTATTAACGCGACGCTCGTTGAGCAGTTTCTGGTGGCGGTTACGGAAATCAATCCGCGGGAAAAGAGGAAACACGCAAAAAACTGCTTCCTATTAATTATCATCTATTCTTTGTTGTCATCAAAAGTGGATGATATTTTGTAAAAAACAAAACTGGCAGTTTTGTCTTGTTATTATGCGCCTAGTTTTTAATATATTATATTGAATGTAAAAACTTTTTTGTTATTTGTTTCAGGATTCAGGAGCGGCAGCACCAGCCGATGACGATACCGACACTGCGAGAAGCTGTAAAAGGTGAGTTTATCTTATATAAACACACTACTTAAATAGCAAAAACTTGACATATATTTTACATAAAAAGTAAAAACGTTATTCTAAAATGTATTAATGAATTATTCATTTTTATAAAAGATTTTCGATTCTGTTTTTTTACTACAAAAAAAAGATTGTATTTTTTTTTGTTTTTACTCAAAACACGTGTAAGCAACAAAAAGTTCGTCGCGACATCACGTTTCTCGATAAAATGTGTGTGTTTCGCTTTTATTAAGTTTCTAATTTATTGAGAGAAATCAAGAGAACTCGGCATCTTCGTCGTGTTCCTGGAGCTGCGACGGTGTTCGGCGGAAGCGACGCGAGAACAACGTTATTTAATCAACAGGTTTTGTCGTTTCCTCGTCGGAAGTCTTCGCGGCTGCGTCGCTTCCGCGGTCGCTGTCAAGCCGTTGCAATTCGATTTTAACGTAACCGTGTTCCCTCCTCGGAAAAAACGCGCGGCGCTCTCATAGAAATTTCTTTGTGTTTTCCGACACATATCGTAGCGTGATGTGATATATTTTCAATTCGCGTTTATTGTGCGTGTCACGTGTGTGTTTGTATGTGCGCGCGTGCGTGCGAATAGGGAAATTTTCACGATTCACTCTTCTATACTATAAGTTCTTCCGAAGGAGAAGCGCTTCGCTCTTAATCGTCCGACTTTCTACAGCGCGGTTTGCGTAACATCTCGCTTCGCGCGCGGATCGTAACGTTACGTATTACGTGGGAAACGTAATTGAAGTTTGCCTTTACGGGCGGGAAAAAAAAACTTCCTCTCTCGTCGCGAACGGATATTGAGATGCTCCGGCGCCGACGAGGGTGAGACGATTTTTGTCTCCCGTACGAGAAGGGTTTTTTAATTGCGGATGTTGCCGCGGAATGAAATTGCAAGTTTGCTACAGATGAATCTGACAATAAAGTTTTATATGTATAAATCGCGATTAATAGACAGGATAAATAAATTTAGATTGATCGTTCAAAATTGTTGTATATAGTATACGCTTTTCGTTTATTTTTACGTTTGTGCGAAAAAATCGATTTACAGCCGATCACCGTTTCTCTGTCTGGTCGCTGGCACCGATTCATATTACTATTTTTGTTGTTCGTAATGCACTTAAACAGGGCACGTATCCGATATACGACCTTTTGCCGGATTTAAGTTCAGACTCTGCCAACGAAAAGACATACGATCTGCTTGCCAGAGCGAAATGCTAAGCGATGCAACAAAACTATTAATGATAAGCATCGTCTATAATAAGAACTCGAGTATATATCCTTCGTCAAATTAATCTCTTGGAATTAAATGAAAGATACTTATATAATTAGTGTCTGGAAAAATTAAATAACATCTGACAACAAATAATTGTCATTGAAGCGCAATTAGCGCGTCACAGATAATTGTTAATAAAATTATTGACACATTAGGAAAAAATTGTCCCGCTAAATATTAAATTATTAACTTCTCCCCCGAGTACATACTGTGTCGAAAACAAAAATTGCTAACGTTTTATTGTAAAATCTTACTTTTGATTTTGCAACACGACGTTCGAGGGAACAAATCTCGTCGTAAGAGAAATACATATTTCATTTGAGTATATATGTACAATTCACGTCCCGCGATGTGTCCCGGACAATGGCGAAGTAGGTACGCGATGCACTTTCACGTTCCGTGTGACCTGCCATAGATTTCGAACCCGCGACCGCAAACTCATTAGTATCCGTCACGGGACAGACGTTGTTGTTGCCCTGACGTTGTCTTGTTCGGTAATTTTCTGCACGCCTCGTCGCCTCGCGCTTCACGAGGAAAACTTCAATCACTCGTGGTCATAAGAAAAAAAGAAAAAGCATCCGGTGTTTACCGGCCGCGATTTCTCGGACGGATCTCGACCTCACTGCCTCTCACTTTTTCTGCATCATCTGACGTACAATTAAGTTACCGACGTATTGTACGCGCGATACTTATTCCGCGAATACGTTTGTGTACACAAGTCGTAAAACATTGCAATACTTGGCTTACTTTGCAAAGCATTTTCTCTCTCTAATCACATTAGCGTTTGCGGTTTCAATAGTTTTCGCGATCCCAACGTTACGCCCGTTTGTCCCGTTTTCCTTGTTAACACGCGTTTAACACGCACGCGGATTGTCCGGTAAGAGTTAGCTAAAAAGCGAGTTAACGTCGTTGTACTTTTAAAAACGATGATTATGTACCTTGAGTATCGAGTGGGAGAGAAGAGACCCGCGATGCTTGCGAGAAATTCTGACGACCTGCTGCTCCGATCGAGAAACACGGTCTATCCTTGAACAAGATTCTCGGTCGTTCGTAAATTTCACTAACAAAGAGTCACGCAAGGATAATGGTGTATAATATATCGCTCTTTATAGCCGCCGGTTGTATTAACGAGTTTTGATAGTTTTTCATGTGACTTATCGCATCCTTTGCAATACATATGTATATATATAGAGAGAGAAAGAGAGAGAGAGAGGAGAGAAATAACTAATAAGGGGATTAGTATATGCGGCAATAGAATTCTGTTTTTTTTCCTGGTTTTAATTATAATATTTCCTCTGGCATTGATATTATTTATACGAACGTTACTTGCAAATCGCAATGAATAACGCAGAATATTTTCTTTCGAAATTAATGGCTTGACTTGTTTCATTAAAATTTGTTTCCAATAATAGCCGAGAAGAAAATAACCGCGCGTTATAATTATTCAAACGAATAATCGAAATTCTAATTATTCTAATTATTCTAAAGAGCACGCTCGCGCGACATCGCAAGAGAAAACGAGATGAAGAAATTTAAATAATGTCATTGTTTTTGCTGATTTACGGATTTTTTCTTCAGAATGTGTTTGTTACGCGATACATATGTACGTACGTGTTATAACGTAACCTTGATCCATATTTCAGCTGAGTACACTCGCAGCGAGTACGAACAATGCGAGAACGACATTGTGTAATTTTTGAGATTGAATCGCTCACCGAAACTCCGCTAATTTGGTTTCGGATTTTGTCTTGCAACACACGCCACGCATCGGTCGATTGTTTTTTGAAACAAAAGTTCTTGGCAAAGCGGCGATCTTGCGGCGAGACTCAACGTCACGATCTTAATTGTTGTAATTAAACAACTAAATAAAAACAATCGATATTGTTTTACGTAACTTTTGTAATCTTTTAGCGCGCGGTCGCGCTTTTTGTTGAACTTTTCGCTACTTTTTCGCGCTGAAGGAAAATATATCTGAGCTGTGAAACTGATGATAATATATATATTTTGAACTTTAGAATTAGAATCTAAATACGTCATTCATCTACTCAGATGAACGTCGATAGAAAGTTCATCGACGATGAACGTCGATAGAAGCGCGAGTGTCGCGCGCGGGAATATTTACACACACATCTCCCTTCTCCCGTTGCGCTCGTGTGTCATTTACGTAATCGCCCTTGGAATTGATACCTTCCTCTTGAATTGGCACTTGTATGACCTTTTCTCGCCGCTATTTTTTGCTTTAGTATTTATCCCTCAGCCTCGAACAAGCGTATTAATACACGCTCATTGATTTTTCATTGATAAACACTCCAAGCGATTTAATTTCCCATTGTTTAGAGCGGCACTCTCCGAGAAAAGAAATCCGGAAACGCGCGAACGAAAAACGTATTCTCAATCCTGTAGAAATAAACGTTTCTCCCCTTTCTCCGATAATATGTACGAGACACTTCGGCCACAAGAGAAGCCACAGCGAGCTGCGGGTTCGTTACACCCATTTGTCATTCTTCCCTTCCGATGGAAACATAAAAAAAAGCGATACAACACGTAGTGTATCTTGCGGCGCGAATTTTCATATCACGTATTTTACCGCGATATTCGCACGCGCTATTAGCCTCGCTCGCCATTAAATACATGTGTACACATACACGAGAATGCTGCAAATAATATTTTCCCGAGAGATGTGTAAATTTGCTCAACTACTCGACGCGACGATATATCTGATCTGCGAAGATTTCCGTTTCTCGGTCCGAATCCGATAGTTCTTGGTTTAACCGATAGATCTTCTCTCTTTCTTTAACATGTCGTTGATACGCATGACGTAAGAGTTTGATGCACCGTGAATATCAATGTGATTTCTCATCGAGTTTCTTCTCATCTGCTTCTCTCATTGGTCATTTTTCCACACTCGCCGGCAAATTACTCGCCGGCAAATTACTCGCCGGCAAGTAGTACATTCGATGTAGAGGCAGAACGTGATAAATAATATTAATTGTAAGCGCGCTCGACATGTATCCGATGCCGCGCGCGCGTGTAAAAACATTAATCATTAACAACGTTTCAAGTTAAGCCCGGCTTATTGTAATCTCAGATATAACGAAACTGTATTTTTGCGGTTGAAACTAATATAATATTGTCTCTTTTATTATAGATAATTGTTAATGAGATATATGTTCGGTATGTGTACGCGTGTATAACACATAACGCGTGTTTTTACAAATACACTTGATAGGGCAATGCAACAACTCCGGAATGAGAATCGATGATGTTCGTTGATGATCGAAAGAGCTTCACGGAGCTTCACTTTACGCGCGAAACATAAATTTTTCGTTTTGCCATGTAACAATCACACCGTGTCTTATTACGGCGTTTATAAAAATGTGGAACGGAAAAAGATTGAGAAAGAAACGGAACGCTGATTAATGTTGATGTCATGGCTGGATTACGCAATTCACAAGAGAGGCATCCATCGTCTCTTTGTCTAGCAATTATCGCATGTTTTTTTTCAAGTATCGAACGGTGCGGATAGTTCAACAATTGAGATATGTTTAACGAAATACACACAAAAGTGCGTACAAGCACTTTCTTTTATAAAACGCTTGTAAACGTGTAATTTTAACGGTCATTCGACGTGAAAAGAAAAACATGCGGTCTTAAATATTTGAGTTAAATTATTTTAATTTTTTTATTTTTTTGTCTTGTATAAAACCACGAG